GTCCCTGGATGGTACAAATTATCAATGCACTTGGATGCTAACAGAATGGTTGGAGACTCAAGACCATTCAAAAGTGCCTCAGAAGACCTGGCAATCTACTTCCAAAAACTCAGTCTTTGAGAACCCTATGGAGCAAAGTTCTTTTCTTACATACATGGGGTTGCCATGAGTTGGAGTTGACTCCTGGCCAACTGGGATGTTGACTCCATAAATTATGACTCAATTCTTGTCCTTTCTCTCAACAGATGGGAAATCACAATCTTTTCCACTTTTTCATGGAAATCACATGCCTGGCAACACAAAGGAGACACAAAGGGTCAAAGCAGAACTCACAAGAAGCCCCTGGATGACTTACACACAGTCCCTGGACAAGAGGGCAGCAGCTGCAGCCTTTCTGAACCATTCCTTAGGAATGGAATAAGCCTTGATGCAAACCAACTCCTATGGGCAATGCCTTTCTCATTTTAATCTCTCATCTGTATCAGCACCCAAGTAGGAAAAACCATGTACAGCCCCAAGCTCTGCATGAGAACCTCAACAGCCACGTGTCCCTCCATAGTGGTGGTCACAGTCCACAAGAGTGTGACATGGCCACCATGGCCCTTACTATCACTTGCTACTCCCCTCTATCCTCTTTGGGTTTTGCATAACTTGGATATGCTTCAGTCTAAGATGATGACTGGGCATGCCTGGCCTACCCAGGGAGGAACTGAAGCCACACTAATGAGCCTTCCAACAAGACGACAGAGAGCAGCAATAGTTAATTGGTAGAATTTTCACCTCCTATGCAGAAGACCTGAGTTTAATTTTCCGCCAATGCACCTGATATATAGCTACCACTTGTCTGTCAGTGGAAGCTCATGTACTGCTGTGATGCTGAACAGATTTCAGCAGAGCTCCCAGACTATAATGAATCAGGAAAAAAGGACTGGCGATCTTCTGAAAATCAGCCTGTGAAAACCAGATGGACCACAGTGGTCTGACCCACAACTGATCATGGGGATGGTGAAGGACTAGGTAGCATATCATTCTATGGTGCATGGGGTCACCATTAGTCAGGGGCTGACTGGACTGCAGCTAACAAGAGGAGCAAGATGGATGGCCTAGAGGCAAGTCCATTTCTGGGGCACATCTCCTCATTTTGTGAAAATGTATAAAATGAAAGAGAGACTCAGCCCTTAGAGGGTGCCTGTCTTGGTGTTGGGGTCGCCCCGCCCCCAGTGTTGGGCCTCATTCTCAGTTTATATACAATAAATATATTTGACTATAAGCAAATCCAACATAAAAACATTATAAAAGATATACTTAAAAAAAAAAAAAGACAAACTCACTGCCATTGAGTTGATTCTGACTCATAGCAACCCCCTTTGGGTTTCCAAGGTAGTTAATCTTTATGGCAGTAAATCTTCCTTCTGTGGAGTGGCTGGTGGGTTTGAACAACCATCCTTCTGGTTAGCAGTCAAATGCCTTGGGCACTATGCCACAAGAACTCCTTATAAATACCTTGTTGTTGTTACATGCTGTTGAGTCGGACTCAACTCCTAGTGGCCCCTCCGTGGGTTTCTGAGGCGGTATCACTATGGAAGTAGATTGCCCAACTTTCCTTCTGAGGAGTTGCTGGTGAGTTTGAACTGCCAGCCTCTGGTTAGCAGTCAAGTCCCTTAGGCACTATGCTATCAAAGCTCCTATGAATACTTTGTTGTTGTTGTTTACTTGTAGTGAATTCCTAGATAGTCTTTTTTTTTTTTTTGGTAGGGTCATAAAAGGTAATCACTCTGAAAAGAAATGGCTTTACAAGACTATTTTTAAAAAACATTACCCATTTTTTTTGTTTATGCAAATTAACTTTGTATAATTTATTCCTATATTAAAAGTATACCGGCATATCTATTTCTAATGAGAATTTGAAAATGGCACAGATTACTACCCTAATGTTCCACAAGATTTCCAACTTAATTTTTAATGGGTCTTTGCAATTTCACCTTATTCCCAATCCAAGTTATATTCCAAATGCATAGTTTTTATTTAAAGCATCCTGCACATTTAAGTTTCTTTGTTTATTTTCCTTACATTATGATTTGGCTTTGAAACCAGTTATCCAGTTACTGTTGAGTCAGTTCCAAGTCAAGGTGACCTCATGTGGATCAAAGTAGAACTGTGCTCCTTTGGGATTTTAGTAGCTGATTTTTCAAAAGTGCATTGCCAGGCCTTTCTTCAAAGGTGCCTTTTGAGTGGATGGGAACCTCCAACCTTTTGGTTAGCAGGCAAGTGTGTTACCCATTTACACCACCCAGGGACTCCTTGGCTTTTAAGTTCTCCCCTATTAGACTCTGAAATTTGTAGAGGTAAAGAGTAAGCCAGATCAAAACCAAACCCAAGAGCCTCATTTTTTCTTGTTCTTTCCATATGCTGGTGAATTTAAACCACAGCCGCTCACAAAAATGCCTTTGGTCCTGAGACAGACTGTGGTCCCTGGGGAGGGCACATGCCCTTGGTCAGAGCTGCCTGACCAACTGCAACTGACTGTCTTGCAACAGGGAATGCCTGGGTTGCTGGAGCTTCTGGTATTTCAAGATATGCTATAAATCTAGAATTTTATATGAAATCCCTATTTTTACACACTCATATTTTGTTTTACTTTTAAACAAATCCTGTTTGCAGGCCAGATCTGTCACTGGGGCCACCTACTCACAATTCCCATTTTACAGCAAAAGGTCCATAAGTGATGCAAGTGGTTTGCAACTGGTTGCTTATCAAAAAAGTTGATGGTCTAAAACCTCCAATGGTGCCATTGAAGAAAGTCTGGCAATCTGCTTCCATAAAGATTATAGCCAAGAAAATCCTATGGGGCACTTCTACTCTGTAACAAATAATGGTTGCCATGAACCAAAATCAATTAGATGGCAATGAGTTTTTTTTTTTTGTTTGTTTGTTTGTTTCTTTGTTTTAAACCAAACTTGCAAGTAGCACTTAGAAGTGTACATGACTTACTCACTGCCTGGCTTTATTTCCTTCCCTTGTTAATTATCTCCCTCTCAGAGACACATCCCAGACAACCTTCTCAAAAAGGCACTGCCCACCCCCACTATCTTTGGCCTGCCTTATTTTTCTTTATAATACCCATTGGCTCCTGGTATTATATATTTATTTGTTCACTTTAAAAATTATCCCTGGGTTATTTGTTCACTTTAAAAATCATCTCCTCCAATGAGAATATAAGTCCCAAAAGGGCAGGGACCTTGTATGCTTTGTTCTTATATCTTCACTCAGCTCCTGAAACTGTACTTAGTCCATACCAGCACCCAATAATTGTGGTATAAATTGATAACATAACACACCCACTCCTTACTTACCAACATGATTAGGTTCCAAAGACCAGGTCATCATGCAAAAATCACCATTATGCAAAAATGGAGGATAACAACATCAGATCACAAAATGGAGGATGATTATATCATTACATAACTGTCAAATCACATCATTATATAACTGCCAAATTATATCATTATGTAACTGCCAAATCATATCAATTGCCAAACAACTAAGAATTATGGCCCAGCCAAGATGACACATAATCTTAACCATCATTACTCTCACCTTGCACCTTGGCATTGGCTACTGCCAGATATACATTGTTAATGTGCAAAATAGTTGGATAGCAGAGTTTTTACTATTGTCTTAAATATGAAATGTCAGAAAATGAGACAATTGATAAATGAGAAGGTGAATAAAATAGTAGCTATACCCACTACTGTCGTACTGTGGTAGCTTGTGCATTGCTGGAATGCTGGAAGCTATGCCACTGGTATTTCAAATACCAGCCAGGTCACCCATGGGGAACAAGTTTCAGCAGAGCTATGAGACTAAGAAAGATTAGGAAGTAAGGCCTGGTGATCTACTTCTGAAAATTAACCAATGAAAACCCTATGGATCAGAACAGAATATTATCAGACTAGACTCAAACATGCCAATAATTGTGATGACGGTGAGGAATGGGCAATGTTTCACTCTGTTATGCATAAGGTCGCCATCAGTCAGAGTTGACTCAACAGCAGATAGCCACACAACAACAGTCACCACACAGAAAGTGTACCTTTTTGTAAATTGATGTTTTAGTAATAAATTTCACCTAAGGAATTCTGCCTTCCAATATAAAATGTCCTTTGGTATCTGAAGTCTCTTTTCAGTTTACTAAACTGTTCGCTTTTGCATCTCAAAACCAATAAAATAGTTACTGTCAAGTTGATTCCAAATCATGGCAACCCATATGTGTCAGAGTAGAAATGAACTCCATAGGGTTTGCAGTGGCTGATTTTTCAGAAGTAGATCGCCAGTCTTTTTAATTCAGAGGCATCTCTGGGCAAACTCAAACCTCCAACCTGTTGGTTAGCAGCCAAGTGCATTAACTGCATCACCCAGGGACCCTGGTTCCAAAGACCAAAACCAAACCAAACTCACTGCCATCCGAGTCGGATCTGACTCATAGTGACCCTGCCTTGGGTTTCCGAGGTAGTATCTCTACAGAAGTAGATTGCCCAATTTTCCTTCTGGGGAATGGCGGGCAGGTCTGAACCACCAACCTTCTGGTTAGCAGTCAAATGCCTTAGGCAGTATGCCATCAGACCTTCCAAAGACAGTACTTAGTAAATATGGCTTTAGAAACTTTAGACACTTTAAAATGTTTTTGAATTTTAGCATTTGGGTCCCAATGGATATTTCACAAGTGATGCAGCTAGTACTTGGAGGACTCAGTGAGTTAAGGTCTGGCCATGGCTGAGCAACTTGAGGGCTGTATCTGCATCTCTAACATGGGATCGTTAGTGGTACCCACCTGAGGATGGTGTAGGAACTAAAAGAGTGAGGAACAGCATTTTTATCTTCTTCTTCCTCCTTATCATAACTTCAAAATCAAAAGGCCAAGAGCTGAGGCCAGAGAACCCTGCTCCTACTGTGGCAGGGATGCTGCAAAACTGTCCTTTGAATAAGCATGCAGAACATACCTCTAAGGATGGGCTTCTCGCCAATGCTCCGAATGTTGTAGACAGCATTCGAAAGTGGCATCTCTGGGATCAGCTCAGCGAGAAGGTAGCCAGAATACCAGGCACACAGGGAGGCGAAGAAGAAGAAGATGACCTTTAAAGAGCCTGGAGATAAACAGCAAGACCCTGATTGTGGCTTTGCCCAGTGAGGAGTGAGTACTGTTGGGCAACCCCCAACCTGTGATGCTCCTAATTCTTGTCCCAGCCTGTCATCATAACCCACATCCGCTGTTCCCTTGTCAGCAGGATTGTTCTAAGGGAGAGTTACTTCTGGTGTTGCAGTTTCCTGGGAAGGAGGGAGTAGAATGTAAGGGCAGCAAAAACTGACTATATAAAGAAGGCATCAGGATTAGAGGAAGATTCATTAACAACCTGTGATATGCAAATGACACAATTTTGCTTGTCAAAAGAGAAGAGGACTTAAAGCCCTGATTGATGACACTATAGCCTTCAATATGGGTTATACCTGAATGAAATGAAAATGAAAACCCTCACAGCTGGACCAATAAACATCAAGATGAACAGGAAGAAACTGAAGTTGTCAAGGATTTCACTCTACTTGGATCAACAATCAATGCCCATAGAAGCAGCAGTCAAGAAATCAAATGACATATACTGCATTGGGCAAATCTGCAGCAAAAGATCTCTTTAAAAATTAAAGGTGTCACTCTGATGATTATGGTGTGCCTGATCCAAGCCAAGTCTTTTCAACTACTTCATATGCATGTGAAAGCTGGACAGCGACAAAGGAAAATCAAATGTAAGGGCATAAACTGCTTAATGGAACCATGGTGAAGTAGCTGATTTTGCATTGGTAGGCATGTGAAGCAGACAGCAGCAGAGAATACAAAGGAGACAGAACATTTTCAAGGCCAAGTTGTTACAATTGCTGTTGGTTTGGGTTTTAGGGCTTCTTTAAATGCTAATGTAATGATTCTTCCAGCAGCCTTGTGAATCAACATGCCTAGCACCGATCTAAAATTCAAAATCCACTCTTTTCAAGAGACATCTGATTTGAGTATGTCCCTGAAGCCATGAACCTTCTGGTAGGCAGGGGACTTGTCTGGCTGTGTATTGTTACATAACCTGTGCTAAGAATTGTGTGTGGTGCCAGGGAGCATTTGCTGAATGTACTGGCAGGAACTCCTCCCAATCCACCTTAAGAATCAGAGACAAGCCCACATGGTAGAGATTTTGCCAACAGATAGTCCCTACGAACATCTTTCTGATACATTTGCCCCAATGTCTCACCTCTCCCATCCATGCTGACATGAAATACCAGTGGTATGGCCTCCAGCTTCACAGCAACATGAAAGCCACCATAGTATGACAAATCGACAAGACAGGTGGTGGTACTAATATGAGCAGGGGCTAAAAGATTTTACAATTTGTAAGGAAACCAAACCAAACCAACTGCTGCTGAGTCGGATCTGACTCATAATGACCCCTCCTTTGGATTCCCAGGCAGTATCACTACTGAAGTAGATTGCCCAACCTTCCTTCCGAGGAGTGCCTGGTGAATTTGAACAGCCAGCCTTCTGGTTATTTCTGTCCTCTTCTGCAGCCTCCAGTCCTTGGCTTCCCTTTTTTCTTCTACCCTGTGACCCCCCACTAGCAGGGAAGGTTAAGGTCTCCAAAGATTTCCCTGCTGCCAGTCCTAGGTCCATGCCCTCACTTCCTTGTAGACCATCTTATAGCAGGCCCCAGCCTTCTCTGGGATGTTCCTATGTCCAGAGCTCAGCTCCAGACTCATCTCATAACCCCAGAATTCACTCACCTAGATCTTCTCTGAGTTCCTGACTCAGATGTCCAACAGCCTATCTGATGTCAAGCCCTGGATACCTCACAAAGCCTCAAACTTTCATAGGCCCGAGATTAAACTCTTGATTCCCTGAACTCCCAGATTTCCTCCTCCTCCAGGTCTTACCAACCTCAGTAAGGCTAGTTGCTAGATATCTCAATGTTTCCTTGATTCCACACTCAAATGGAAGGGAAAAGAGGCAAGGAAGCAGGGAGGCAGAGAGGGAGAAATGAAGAAGAAAGAAAGGAAGGCAGAGAGGGAAGGAAGAGAGAATAAGGGGAGAAAAAGAGTGGAGCAGGAAGAAAAGAAGGGAAGGAGAAGGAAAGGAATTCCCTCAGCCACATCTGTTATCTCCCAAAACAAGTCTCACCTCACCTCCATGTACTTCTCTACATCTCCATGGCCACCACCAACTTAGCTACTGCCTCCTAACCCTTCTTTGGCTGGAAGTGATTATTTGGACCCCATACACAGGCTTTAGAGTTACCACAGGGTGCTTTCCGTCTACCCTGAGCCCTGAGCATAAATGAGCTTTCCCCCATGTCTCTGGCCAGAGGACATTTCTCTCAGCGCCTCCTTCCTGAGTTTGTAGGCCTTTACTTGGAGGAACAATCCTGAGTTTATAGTGTTTCTGTCACCATTGGGCAGTGAAACCCAAGCCTCTGTCTGTCAGTCTGGCAATGTCCCCACCCTTGCAGACCAGCAATCCTCAGCTCTAAATTCCAGGCCTACTCTGTTCCTAGCACCTAAAGATTTACGATTCTTTTTTGTGAATGCAGTTTTTAAGGACTAGTCCTTGGTTGTACTTTATCAAGTCCTCTGGGTGTCACAAACAGTTAATGCTCTCAACTGCTAATTGAAAGGTTGGGGGTTCAAGTCCATTCAGAGATATAAAGAAAGCTCTGGCAATCTACTTCCAAAAAATCAGTCACTGCAAACTTCATGTAGCATAGTTGCTACTCTGACACACATGCAGTTATTATGAGTCAGAGCTGACTTGACAGCAACTGGTTTTGAGGCAGTAGTGGTTCAGTAATAGAATACTTGCCACCCATGTGAGAGACCTGGGTTCAATTCCCAGCCAATGCATCTCATGCATAGCCACCACCCTTCTGTCAGTGGTGTCTTACATGCTGTTATGAGGATAATCAGGTTTCAGCAGAATTTCCAGACTGAGATGAAATAGTAAATAGTGATCTACTTCTTATCCCATCTTTGGTAACCAACAAAGAAATTTCCTTTTGTGCATAAATCTTTCCTTAACTTTTTATAATGTTGTTGTTGTTGTTATGTGTCATGGAGTCGGCCCCGACTCACAGCGACCCCTCCTTGGGTTTCCAAGGCAGTATCGCTATGGAAGCAGATTGCCCAACCTTCCTTCCAAGGAGTGGCTGGTGGGTTTGAACTGCCAGCCTTCTGGTTAGCAGTCAAGTGACTTAGGCACTATGCTACCAGAGCTCCTAACTTTTTATAACAGTGGACTCAACTAGTAGTTGTCCTCCTGTGATTGACTTATTTCACTCAGCATAATGCCTTCCAAGTTCATCCACATTATGACATGTTTCATGGATTCTTCAGTATTCTTTAATGTGCATAGTATTCCATTGTATGAATGTAACAAAGCAGAATCGACTTTAATGATGTAGATGGAGTAAAGCTTTTAGGACCTTCATTTGCTGATGGGGCATGACTCAAAATGGGGAGAAACATCTGAAAATTTCATTAATAATCAGAACATGGAAAAGTACAAAGCATGAATTTGGGAAAACTGGAAGTTGTAAAAAATAAAATGGAATACATAAAGATTGATATCCTAGGCATCAGTGAGCTAAAATGGACTGATATTGGCCATTTTGAATTAGACAGATCTATGCTGGGAATGACAAATTGAAGAGGAATGGCATCATATTCATCATCAAAACATTTCAAGATCTAGCATGAAGTACAATGCTGTTAGTGATAGGATAAAATCCATACACCTACAAGGAAGATCAGTTATTATTCAAATTTACATACCAACCACTAAAGTGAAAGATGAAGAAACTGAAGATTTTTTTTTTTTTTTTACCAGCTTCTGCAGTCTGAAATTGGCCCATAATGCAATCAAGATGTATTGATAATTACTGGCTATTAGAATGTGAAATTTGGAAATGAAGAAATATTGGTTGCTGGAAAATATGCCTTGGTGATAGGAATGATTCTGGAGAGTACATGATAGAATTTTGTAAGACCAACAACTTATTCATTGCAAATGCCATTTTTCAACAACATAAATGGCAGGCATACATGTGGACCTTGCCAGATGAAATACACAGAAATCAGATTGACTATATCTATGGAAAAAAGTGATGGAGAAGCACAAAATCATCAGGCCAAGAGCTGACTATGGAACAGATCATCAATTGTTCATATGTAAGTTCAAGTGGAAGTTGAAGAAAATTCAAACAAGTCCATGAAAGCCCAAATATAATCTTGATTACATCCCACCTAAATCTAGAGACCATCTGAAGAACAGAATCGACACACTAAACACCAATGACCAAAGACTAGAGGAGTTGTGGGATGATATCAAGAACATCATACATGAAGAAAGCAAATTGTCATTAAAAAGACAAGAAAGGAAGAAAAGACCGAAATGGATGTCAAAAGAGACTGAAACTTGCTCTTGAATGGAAAGTAGCTGAAGTGAATGGAAGAAATGATGAAATAAAACAGCCAAACAGAAGATTTCAAAGGGTGGGTCGAGAGGACAAAGTAATATATTAAAATGAAATTTGCAAAGACTTGAAATTAGAAAACCAAAAAATAAAATGAAATAACATATTCAGCATTTCTCAAGCTAAAAGAACTGAAGAAAAAAAAATCAAGGCTTGAGTTGCAATATTAAAGGATTCTATGGGGAAAATACTGAATGGTACAGAAAGCATCAAATGAAGATGGAAGGAATTAAACAGAGTCACTGTACCAAAAAGAACTGGTCAATGTTCAACTATTTCAGGAGGAAGCATATCATCAAGAACCAACGGTATTGAAGGAAGAAGTCCAAGCTGCACTGAAGGAACTGGCGTAAAACATGCCTCCGAGAATTGATGGAATAACTATTGAGATGTTTCAACAAACAGAAACAGCACTGGAGGTGCTTGTTTTGGTTACCTAGTGCTCCTCTGACAAGAATATATCACAAATGGGATGGCCTTAACAAACAGGAGTTTATTCTCTTACAGTTTGGAGGCTTTAAGTCCAAGTTCAAAGTGCCAGACTCTAGGGACTGGGAGAGAGCCTCTCAACCTTGGGGTCCAGCTCTGCCTCCTGCTCCCAGCCCACTGGAGCTAGAGGTGTTTCTTCACTCAGATAGCTGCTGGCTGCTGAGGCTGAGAAGCTCAAGGTTGACAAATAAAAAGGCACAGTCCTGATGTTACCAAACCACACAGCAGGCCATTAATTCATGTTAATTGTAAGTCCCAAGGTCGGCAGAGCATGTCAGGCTGTGGAATAATGACACGGCTACATACAGGGTCCAAGCATGCTATATGCTAGAGACCATTCCCAAGGTTTCTCCTTATATACAGGAAGCAGACCACATCCCAATGGCAGCTACTCAGCTGCTTGTGGTAGATTCCACTATGGAGTTGATTGCCAGTCTCATCATGGGGAATAACTACCACCAGTTGCCCAGCCACTCAACCAGGCCTAGCCAAGTTGACACACAAACATAACCACCACAGTGCTTATTCGTTTATGCCTAGAAATTTGGAAGATGGTTACCTGGTCAACTGACTGGAAAAGATCAATATCTGTGCCCATTCCAAAGAAAGGTGATCCAACAGAATGTAGAAATTATCAAGCAATATTATTAATATCACCAAAAACCAAACTCACTGCCATTGAGTTGATTGCCACTCATAGTGACCCTTCTTTGGCTTTCTGAGGTGGTATCTCTACAGAAGTAGATTGCCCAGTCTTCCTTCTGAGGAGTGGCTGGTGGGTTTGAACCAGCAGCCTTCTGGTTAGCAGTCAAATGCCTTAGGCACTACACTACCAGAGCCCCTATTAATATCACACACAAGTAAAATTTTGCAGAAGATAATTAAAAACCAGCTGCAGCAGTACATTGACAAGGAACTTTTGGAGATGCAAGCTGGATCTAGAAGAGGATGTAGAATGAGGGATATCATTGCTGATGTCAGAGAGATTTTGCCTGAATGCAAAGAATCCAAGAAATATGTTTACCTGTGTTTTATGGACTATCAAAGGCATTGGACTGTGTGGTTCATAACAAATTATGGACAACATTGTGAAGAATGGGAATTCTGGAACACTTAATGGTATTCATGGGGAACCCGTACATAGACTAAGAGGCTGTCATTTGAACAGAACAAGGGAATACTGCATGGTTTAAAATCAGAAGGGTAGTGTGTCAGAGATGTACCCTGTCATTTTACTTATTCAGTCTGTGTGCTGAG